CACAAACTCTCAACTGCAGCTCCACACAACAGCTGTCAATCACCTGCCTTGGTGAGAAGAACAACATCTGGACAGATTCTTCAGTTGTTCATGATCAATAATGTGTTTTTCTTTCTCTGAATATCAGGTCGCGGGTCCATCAGGCTGGTGGGTTCTGGGGGAGACTGTGCCGGGAGGCTGGAGGTTTTTCACAGCGGCTCATGGGGGACAGTGTGTGATGACTCCTGGGATATTAAAGATGCTCATGTGGTGTGCAGACAGCTGCAGTGTGGAGTGGCCCTCAGTAACCAGCAGGTACCAGCCTGGTTTGGTCCTGGTTCTGGACCCATATGGCTGGATGAGGTGGAGTGTGAGGGGAATGAGACGTCCCTGTGGAGCTGCTCTTCTCCAGGCTGGGGAAAACATGACTGTCAACACAAGGAGGACGTAGGAGTTGTGTGCTCAGGTAAACATAAATATAAACAATAACATTTCAGTAATGTTTGTGACTGATAATGACCAATATCCTGTGTAATTACATTATATATGGTAACTATATATAGTAACAGTGTGGTTTGGAACTGAGAACCAGTTTTTATTCAGTAATTTTTATTCAATAATTTATTTTACTAAATAATATATATATTTAATAAATAAATAAAATAAACATGTTTTCCAGTGTTAATGTAACAAATGCTAATGCAATACTGTACTACTAGAGAATGCTTTGAACTGCTTAATCATCTGCAGTGCAACACAATACTGAATCTCCAGCATGAAACACCTTGTGTGACCAATGTAGTCCGATTCCTAAATAAATGACTACTTTTTTTCTTTCTTTTCTGAATCTAAAACATGCAGCTTACAACTATCTTTGAAACCTAATTTAATTTTACTAACTGGATGTTAGTAAGACAAAATGTAGATAAAGACACACATTATGCATTTGGTTAGTATTATTTAATAAATATTAATGAAGGAATTGTTGTTATTTATTTATTTGTTGGCTTTATATATAGTTTAGGTCAATTATTGGATTCCATTTATGTGTTTTGGTTTGCATGAAGTGTTTTTGCTCCATTTTTAACTGCATTAATTTCTGTGTTAATTGACCATTAGAATAAAATGTATTTTTAATAATTGTTTTACATTTTATATAGAAATTAATCATCTACAAGAGATGGAATCTGGTCTGTTTTGATCATGAACATCATTGTTGTTTTTTTTTAAGAATTTCTTTTTGAAATGATCTCACCATTTGCCAGTGTAATAGCATTATTTTTTTCCAAATATTTCCAATAAGAGAATTGCTAAATGGTTGAGTCTCATCCTTTTCCATCTAGAGTTTAAAGAGATCAGGTTAACTGAGGGCTGTGAAGGGAATGTGGAGGTTTTCTACAATGGATCCTGGGGTAATGTGTGTTACAACCAGATGGACAGAGACACAGCGAGCCTGATCTGTCAAGAGCTGAACTGTGGAAGATCTGGCAGTGAACCCAGTAATTCAGTGGGACTGAAGCCTCATAATTGGCTTGATTTTTTAAAATGTCGACGACATGACTCCACTTTATGGCAGTGTCCATCTTCACCTTGGGGACAGAATGACTGTGGTAATGAAGTGGCCAAAATCACCTGCTCAGGTAAGATTATATATTTAACTGATTTAAGATGGCTTTAAGAGGTCATGTTTGTTATTTATGATGTTTGTTCTGTTAACTGATGTTTTGAAATTTTAAAATGTTAACATGCAATCTCAGAGAAAGAGATTCTTGAGTCTCCTCAGAGTCGTTTGACATGTTCAACTTCACCATCTCCTCACCAGAGACAATGTACAAGTAAGTTTATGTTATTATGACTATTATGTTATGCTTACGTTTTCTTTATTAATCTTAAATTTTTTATATGTGTACTAAATTATTTTTATTCCACATTCAAAATTAATCACAACTTTAAAGACCTTTAGCTTCAGTTTATGTGTTTTGTGGTAAATGCTGTGCTGAAGCTGGTCAGTGCTGGTTGATGTATGTGCTTTAGATCATGTTGCTCTCAGACTGAGTGGAGGGGAGGGCCGGTGCTCTGGGAGGCTGGAGGTGTATCATAACGCTGTGTGGGGCTCAGTCTGTGATGATCAGTGGGACATCAGCGATGCTCAGGTGGTCTGCAGGCAGCTGGGTTGTGGAGCAGCACTGAGGGCTGATGGGAATTCAGTCTTTGGTGCTGGTGAAGGTGTTGTGTGGCTGAACAGAGTCGAGTGCAGAGGGAATGAGATTCACCTGTGGGACTGTCCTCTCTCCCTGAAAAACCACACTGACTGCTCCCACAAAGAGCACGCTGGACTCACCTGTGCAGGTCACAGAATTTTGTTTAGATCGTTTTAGTGATTTGTGTATTTAAATCAATCAGTTGCATGATTGATAATGTGTTTGTTCTGACAGATTTGCCAGATTTGCCAGATTTGTCAGTGTACACTACTCCTGCCACAACTTCATCAGCTTCTCCTCCAGTGCGCTCAACATCAGTCTCTCCTCCACAAACTCCTCCAGCAGC